TCTTGTTTAAAACATCATGTAAAGTAGTGGGTTTGTGTTAGTGACCATGTTGTGGCTGTACATGCAATATTTAAACATTAAAATAACATGCTATAGGTGAAATGCTCGAGCATCAAGAGGCAGAATTATCTCATGGTTTTTGTTTTTGCTTTTTTGATTGATTTCAGAGAGGATTTCAGAGAGAGGAAGGGAGAAAGACATCAATGATGAGAGAGAATCACGGACCGTCTGCCTCCTGTCCCCCCACACTGGGGATGGAGCCCACAACCCAGGCCTGTGCCCTGACCGGGAATCGAACCCTGACCTCCTGGTTCCTAGGTCACCACTCAACCACTGAGCCGCACCAGCCGGCCGGGCCTCCTGGCGATGTTATCATCCCCATTTTGCAGATGAGGCACTGAGGCACTGAGAGGCCTCAGTTAGTTGCTGAGCTACCATTTCCATCAAACTCAGCAGCCCACCCTCTGAACCTGCCTCCACCCCGGGCCCTGCGGGAGGGAGACGGTGCCTGGGAGCATCCAGCCCCTTCAGGGGGCCCATCCCGCCTGCCGGTCATCCTGGCACAGTGACCCCCCCAAAGGACCTCTGGTCTGGGCATTGGAGGCCGATAGCCCTTGGACCCGGGCAGCCTGGTTGGGGCCTGGCAGGGGTGGCCGTGCTGGGCACCTCTGCCCCGGGGTCGGGGAGTCGGTCTCCCAGCTTTTCATTTCAAATTTGAAGCATAGAACTCCAGCCTGGTGGTTATTAACAAATAATTGAATGGAATTGGCCAGAGATGATGATGTCAAATTTGCAAATTATCCAGTATCATTTATAGGTCATTAAATTTCAAATGACAGAGCAGTGGAGCTACAGTCGTGCTGGGCACCTCTGCCCCGGGGTCGGGGAGGAGGGAGCCGGGGGTGAGCTCCGGGGCAGCCTGGGTCAGCCCTGCCCTCCCCCCGCAGCCCGGGACATTCAGAGGTGGGAGTACGTGCCGCTGGGGCCGTTCCTGGGGAAGAGCTTCGCGACCACCATCTCCCCGTGGGTGGTGCCCATGGAGGCCCTC